AGTAGTCATTCACAACACAAGATGCAGACATGATATCATGTCCAGACACTATTAGTACAGATCTTTTTTCTTATTGAATTAAGAGAAAGTGACTATATATCTATCCTATTTTGTATCTACAAATACAAAATTGTCCTTCATTTATATCACCTTTTTTTGTTCAGTTTTGTCAGAGATGGGTAGTCCATTGCCATCCAAATATTGTAGGTGCATGAATTCAGCAAAATATTCTAATATAGCCCAGCAGTCCACAATAGTAATGGGTTATCCACAGGACTGGCAGTGTCTGAATCTGCTGACTTGAGCCTTCCACAGCTCTGCATATTAACATGGCTTCACGGTTCATACCTCGTTTCTACACTTCTCTGCTGGATGGTTAAGACCAAGATAAAACAAGACCTATTTAACAAGATTTGTAACTTTTGTATTGTACAAGGTCAGTCAAATCCCCTCAGGATTTAGCCTGAAATGCTGTATCACAGTTTGTAGATCTTTTGACAGTGTCAGCCATGTGGATGAGTCATGGCCATTGCTTGACCAATTTGCTGTTTGTGAAAGCCTGAGAGAATGTTTCCTCTCCATATGACTCTCTTTAGGCACACACTACATCATCGATCACATTCCTCTGTGGCTCCATAAATCAGTCTGTTAATACTAAGCCAAATCTGACAAAGATGTTAGAATCAGCAAGCAGAACATTAAAGAACATTATTATAAATGCAATAGCTTATGGAAGCTAGAGAAATGAAAAATAAGAACCCAAATCAAACTTTTGAAGATGAAAACTGTGCGGCATTCAGAGTTTCCTGGGTAACATCAATGGCAGGTTATACTTGTAAAAGAAAGTATTAGTGAATTTGAAGAATGTAACATGGAAAACAATCCAAAATAAAAGAGAAAAGAGAATTTTTTCAAAGTACTGGTACAGTTTCAGGTGATGTAGTTAGAGGAAAGAAAAGGAAAATGGGGAAGAAAAAATATTTGATGAAATAATACCTGCAAAATGTTTACATTCGATAGAAACTATAAACTCAGATGTAGAAAAGTTAAATCCTGGTGTAAGATTTATTTATTTATTTATTTATTTTTTGGTATGTTAGGGAAGGGTCTACAGGATGTTAAGGGTCTCACTACTAGATCAGACTTGTAGTGATCCACCTGTTACAGCCTCCCAAGAGCTGGGATTGCAGGTGCGCACCACCACAGCCAGTCTCAATTGCTGGGGTGGGACCAGCATGGCAGGCTGGCGACCAAACCCCTGACCCCTGTGCCTGCTTGCAGGTGCTTTAATCTGCTGAGCTCTTTGGCCGGCCTGATGAGGGCAACTTCAAAAGACATTGAAACCAAATTGTGAAATGACATTAGGGTGATAACTGTAAACTGCTGAAAAATGATCTATCAACTTAGAATTCTTTATTTTTCATTACTTTTATTAGTACATGTTTATAGCACACAATGATTATAATCTAGAATCATATACCTTGCAAAAGTATGTCTCAAAATAAAGTACAATCTCAGACACACATTTTTAAGGAAAAGTGATTAAATGTAGCACTAAGTTTATTTTGTGCACACGGTGGCCGAAAGTTCAGGAGGGTAGGAAGGATTTCCATACTCTATGGTAAGTGGTATGATATTTGAATATAGACTATAACAATTTAGAGTTATATATTGTATACCGTAAAATAAGCTAATACAAGAGAGAAAATGAAATCGTCAAAAGCAGTTAATTAAAATACAGCAGGTAGTTAGGAAAAAGTATTTCAGTTATTTAAGCACAATGATGGGAAGCTTTGACAAATATAGTTAAAAATGAAATATGTTTCTTGAGCATGCTTAATTAATTAACATTTATTTAAACATGTTTCAAGTTGGGCATGGTGGCCCACACCTCTGTTTGCAGCACTTGGGAGGTGAGGTGGGAGGATTGTTGCAAGTTCAAAGCCAGCCTAAACTACACAGTGAGACCCTGTCTCAAAAACAAAACAAAACAAAACATTAAGTTCCCATATTTCTTGATGTAACCTAGAGACCTTGCAGGAACTGTTGATTTGGTTTCCTGGCTTATTATTCATTTTATTGTCCCCGCTAAGAACTCTACTTCTTCAAGTGCTTGTTTTAAAGCAGTCTCCATTCTTCTGCATTTCTCTTTTTCTAAAATTCTTCCTTATCCACTACCAAATTATGTGCTACTGTCTGACATTAATTTACTTTATTATTCTATTTCACATGCCTAAAGATTAAGTTGCAGGAGGGTAGAGACTTTGTTCATAATGTCTACTGCTTTAAGTTTTACTAAGTACCCGACAATAGATATTCATCAGATATTTATGGAATGAATTGATCCTTAATTTTTCACATCATGATTCTCTGCTCTATGAAAAATCAAGTTTCAGTTGTAGACTATTTGAGAACTTTTAAGAAATGTACCTCTTTAAAATTAACTTCCTTCTAGACTCTCTCTCTGGACTGGGTTTTACCACTAGTTCACTTCTGTTAGAAACAAACAAAACAATGTCAGGCAGTTTTGTAAGCATTATTTAATTGATTCTTCTCATTAGTTCAAAGCAAGGAATTATTTTCAGTTTGTACTTAAAGGATGTAAACCTTTGTGATATCATAAAAAAGCATACAAAGTTGCAACTAGAGAACATACTCTTAAGTGAAATAAATCTGACTTGCATGTGATGTCATATTGTCTCTTTAATGTGAGAACCTGAAAGAGAAAATAGAATCTGAAGGATACAGTAAATATGAGGAAAGGGAATGAACTTATTCAAAAGGAAAGAAACTGAGTTGAAGAGAAGGACAGAAGAGGGAGTGAGGGAAGGAGATTTATCTATGTATGTAACCAGGAAGGTTTGGACAACTGTGCATTTCTGCTGGTCTGTGGAAAGGAGCAGATAATACTTAATTTGTTTCATCCTTTTTTCAGTTGTTTGTATTTTTTCTCTTAATTTGTTGTACATTTCTTCCGATTTTGCGTGCATATGTCTGGTAATATGGACAACTGGTTGGAAGACAACACTGCATTACAGCAAATACTGTTAAATTCATAGTACTTCATTAAGTGAAATTTTGTATCACTTGTAACTTTTTCTGTTTTAACACTTTTGTACTTTCTTTAAAAAATTTTTAAAAAGGTATTCGATGTCATACAAAACAAAGATTCAAACTTAGTTCCACCTTATTCCTAAATTTTAATTCTTGACCATTGTAAAGATAATTATCAGTTTAATACAAGTGCAAACAAGTTTAGCATATCATAATCTTAGTTTTGGTTAGCAAATTCTAACTAGTAAAAAAGTTTATTTGGGCTTTAATTTTTAATTAATGCATAATTTGAAATTATTTCATATGCCTCATATTTCTAAAAATTTAATAAAACATTATGTATCATTGATACAGTATTTTTAAAAGCTGTGGAAAGGAGAGGTTGAGGGACTAGTAAGGAGAAGGAAAGGAAAAAAGTGTATTTGGGGATAAAGGAAAGATTCTATATAACTTGTAAAAATCATTGTCACACAAACATATTTGCTTCGTATCAATACCATTTTTCAAGGGCTGGTCTGTTTATATGTTATAAGCTGTTCAGACTATATTTATAGTTATCTCAGGCTAAGATATACACTTGTCAAGCTTAATTTGCAGTAGCTAAACTTACACTTTCCTCAAGCTGACTAGATGTTATTTGTGTTGGAAATATCAAAATACCATTTTTGGCCATTTTCTTTTTTCTTGTTCTTGTCATTAGCTTTTTGTAGCTGAAAGTTTTCTCACTTCTTACTTGTCTGGGCCAGGGAGATAGCTCAGCAGCATATGTGTCTGCCTGGCAAGTGCAAAGGCCCGAGTTCAGTCCCTAGTACCACCCCCCGAAAAAAAATGTGAAGCCATTGACAGTCCTCCCACTGAGTTTACACTTTCAATATAGGAATTAACTTTAAAGCTTCCTGTTAGTATGTAAAAACAATTTTATAGAGCTCCAGATTGTTGACATAAGTAAGCCTTTAGTTAGGTCTAGTACCATTCCATGTACCATACTAGAATGTTTGGATTTTGAGGGAACCTTCTTCAGAAGAATTCAGATTTAGTGTGTGTTCTTGTGCCTGCTTTTAGTGGGAATTTAAAATAGCTAATCTGTATTCCAGAAAAGATTATGTTTACAGGAGGATCTTTTCTTTTCTTTTTTTTTCTTTTTTCTTTTTTTTTTTTTTTTTTGGCGAAACCGGGAATTGAACTCAGACCCTTGCGCTTGCCAGAGAAGCGCTTATTCCACTGAGCCATCTCCCCGGCCCTAGGAGGATCTTTTCTTATTAATTATAATTGGCTGCCAGTTAGACTGTATTTTATAAGTTGCATAGTCTTGATATAGTGATTAATAGACTTTCAGATGTTGTCTTTTTGGCTATTCTGACAAGTGAGTTGAAAACTATTCCCATTTTTAAACCTTTTCACTGGTCTGTCCAATCTACATAATGTGTATATGTGACATACACATACATGTTCCATGTTCCATGTTTATGGATTCAAGATACTATTAACAGCAAATATTTAGAAGAAAAATTGCATTTGTACAAAACATGTATAGACTCTTCTTAATATTCCCTATAAAACAGTGTAACAACTGTGTAGAGGTGATTTACAGTATGCAGGAGGTTGTGTTGGGTTGTATGCAATACCATTTTGTGTAAGGGACTTGAGTGTTCATGGAATTTAGTGTCTGTGGGTTAGGATGTATTGTTCTTTGAACTAGTTCTTTCATAGATACTGAGAGACAACTCCCATTGCAATTTTTCTATATAATTATTACAGTTTATTACAGCATCAGATAGTTTATTTGAAAAGTGAAAAATATTTTATGTATATGACTAGTTTTAGATATCCTCTTATTATTTCCAGCACAAGATTTAATAGAGATATTTTGCCTCCATGCAATTTAAGTCACACAATTAATGGTGTCAGTTTTCTTTTGCAAGTAACATGTTTTCTCCTTGTCGTAGGTCCTTTTGTTCTGCATCACAGCGGCCATGTATATGTTCTTTTTCAGGTATGTTTTGTTATCCTTACTTATTTTAATACCCAAATAGCATCTTTTGTAATTTTTTCAACCATGAAATTAAAGTATTCCCCAAATAATTGTGTTTTATAAATGGCATATTTTTCTTTATATTTTCCCCTCTGTCCTTTGTGAATAGGGAAAGATAAAGAGATAGAGAGAGGGTTTATATTTCTTCCTCATATTTTCTTTATTATTAATAGTGAATTAGCAGTACTTACATCATTTTAAATGAACTTTTCTGTTTTCTTGTACTTGGTTCTACTTATTCTTTGCTTAAGAACTAATCAGTATTTTGAATTTAACTAAGTAATGCCTCTAGGGTCCGTCTCAGCCTTCTGTGGTGGCAGTCCAGCCTACCACTCGTGCTTTGGCCAAGGACGTGTTTTATCGCGGTACCGGCGGTTGGACTTGGGCCCATGCTCTTGCCAGGCAGGCACTTGTGCTGCTGTGCTGTGTCCGCAGCCCTGACTCATACTTTGGAAATGTTAAGTTGATCTGCAGTGGCACAGCTGCCCTCTTCCTGGGCGTGATTCCTTCCTGAAGACCGAGCAAGAGTGTTAGGCTCTTCCTAACAGAATTTTATTTATTTATTTGAGTTAGGCAGAACTTGATCCATAAGCGCTAGTAGTGGGATGTACACATTTTGTGTTAGTCACTGGTGACTAAAATGCAGTCGGAGCTGCCTAGTATTCTTTGCGAACTTGTTTCTTGGGGTTCTCAGGATCAAGTCAAGGGTTCCCGGATGGACACAAGGCAGCTGCTCTGCGTATGCTGATGCCCAGCCACAGCCCCCAGCTTTGTGATGCATTATTTTTACTGTATCTTCACAGCCCTCTAGTGTTAGCTTGTGCAGCTGACTAGTTTACCAGGCACTATAGTCTGTCTATTCTTAATAGTTTAGGTTTGTTACATCATTCCATCCAAAAACTTTGTAAGTATATTCACACATACCATTAGGAGAGTGTTGCAAAATGTTCATGTTTGTTTTTATGTGCTGTTTATGCTGAAGATATAACCTTCCCATGGGGAAAATATCATAAAAGTTACAAAATTAGAACCACAGTTTAATTTCTAACAGAATGGATCATTAAATGAAATAATTCTTCCTAATGTGGCACTTTAAACAATAATTATATGCTTAATGTTTAGTATTTCTTAGGTATAGGAAGTTTTTGAGGCTTACAGACAAATTCTGTGTTGGACACACTAATCCATGCCCAACTTACAGAATGATTCTAGGAAATTATGTTTTGAAAACTGCTACCATCAACCTAGTATTTTTGGTGTAGAAAGAAAGTCAGCCCTATAAATACGTGTTTCAGTGCAGAGCTATGGAACCTTTTCCTGTTTCAGTCACAAAGTCTGGGCTAAAAACAACAGTTTAAAATACTTTCCAGAAAGCTCAACACAAGGTTTAAGTGCCAAGATAAACACTTTCAATTTTCTCAGGAAAAGGGGTTGTTTTTCTCACACACACACACAGAAAAACCACTATCGCCAAATTCTTTGTGTTCTTGGCAGAAGTTAGTTTGAAAAAGAGACAGAGGTCTCAGAAGAGATTTGGTGAATGGTAGAATAGAACCTTTTATGAGGTCCTGCAGCCAAAGAATAGCATATTGAGTGCTTTCTGAGCTCCAGCTTATGTGCAGGGTGAGCGAGCGACTTGCACAGAGAACTTGCTGCGGTCCGTGTGCTGGAATGCTTCTGTTTCCGAAATTAAATTCTGTGAGAAGTACAGATGCATGTACTTACGGGCATGTTTATTTAATTTGCTAATTATTTTAAACTTAATTACATAAAATGTGATACATATCAAATGTTATTGTCCTCAGAACATCTTTTATGTTGTTCTCTTTTTGCAAGAGGCTAAGCAAAAAATAGTATCTTCAAATGAGTCAACTTGTATTTTTCTTACTATCTGTAAGTGGTAAAGGGGAAGTAAGACACCCACCGCCCCCCGCCTTTGGTGGAACCCGGGATTGAACTCAGGCCCTTGCGCTTGCCAGGGAAGCACTTATTCTACTGAGCCATCTCCCCGGCCCCAAGACCCCTTATACTAATGTTTTGCTTCTTTTCTTTTTTCTTTTTCTTTAATGAACTTGAGAAACAGTTCCATAAACTGAGAGCCACTGGCTGTTATGGTTATAGTGTGAGATTATTTAAAAAGCAATGAAATAGTTTTGATATTGAAAACTATGTTTAACAAAACATAATGAAATGTTTTACTTTTCATAGCTTTTAATAGTTTTAAACAGCTTGTTCACCTATATTATTTGATACATGATGACTGATTTTCAAGCCATATATATCTCTCTATATATATAAGCCATCTATATCTATATCTATACCTATACCTATACCTATACCTATACCTATACCTATACCTATATCTATATCTATATATCTATCTATATATGCCACAGAAATAAAACAAAAAACCCCAACATGTATGGAATTTTTGGAATACTTCAGAAGTTTGGGTGGAGAAGATACAAGTGTGTAAAGAGCCCTGTAGTTTGTTCTGCCTTTCAGCCTGCTCCCAGATCTCCTGCCATCAAGGTCTCTGTTGCTTCTGCCTTTGCTGTGGATCCTGCCAGGACTTGGGGTGCAAGGGAGGATGCAGCATGTGTTGATGGCTTTGTGAGGCAAGCCCGCGGGGCGCTCCCTTGGGCCTTCTGCTTGGTGCTTCTGCCTCTGCCGTTGTTCAGCTGCTGTGTGGAATTCTGTGTGCTTCTGCCGTAGCTCCGTATTAGGGCGTTGTGTGCCATTATGAGCGCAGGCCAAGCAGAAATTATGGGTGAAGTTTTGGCAGAAATTTTGCCCCAGATACCCCTGGAGCCCCTTTAAAACACTTTTTTTAATGTATTTGGTATAGGGTCTCACTATACAGCTCAGAGTGATAGTGAACCTCCTGTTTTCAGCCTCCCTAGTGCTGGGATTACAGGCGTGCGCCACCACACCCGGACTGTGGCCAACTCAGTGCACCCGGGGGCGGGGCTGGCGCGGCATGTGGTGCAAGGGATTGAACCCCGGTCCCTGTGCTTGCCTAAGCAGGTGCTTAGTCTGCTGTGCTGTATCACTGGCCAAGTGAAGCACTTTTAAGAATGTTTGATTTTAATTTCAGCATTAGGCCTATGTGTATGAAGAATGCTAACATTTTAGAGAAAGTAACTTAGCATCATTTCTTAAAATTAATTTAAAATAGACAGGACCCTGATACATATAACAAATTTGATCTCAGCCTGGTGAGTATGAGCTAAAAATTCTTCGCACATGCCTTGGAGGAGTCAGCAACAAATTCAACAATTTGTTTGAACATGTAGATTGGAGCGCTCAGTCATAGCATGTAGGATTGATTCATAACAGATACATCTTCCGTCATGTAGTGTCAGCATGAAAATCGCTGTTTGTTTTTTTGTCAGAAACCAGCGCAAATGAAAGTTCATTGTATTATTGTGAACATATTTTGAGTATATATTGTTCCCATTCAATGAGTTATAATCAACTCTCTGTAAGGCACTAATAAAATATTTCACTAGTCTCATATAGATTCAGATTTTATATCTAAGAAAACTGTACTATTTATTGCTGGACAACCTGCAACTCTTGAAGGAAAGATATTTGTGATTGTTGCTGAATATCTTTCCTAAGCTTACCTTACTATATTTGAAACAATAACAAGTAAAGAATTTTTTATCTTGAGCTTTCATCCATTTACTAAATTTATTTATTTATTTTTTTTGCGGAACCAGGGATTGAACTCAGGTCCTTGCGCTTGCCAGGGAAGTGCTTATTCTACTGAGCCATCTCCCCAGCCCTCTATTTACTAAATTTATGTGAAAATCATTTAAATATCAAGTAGGTTCTATTTTCAAAATATTGCTAAAATATTTTGAATACTTAAATACCATTAAAATGAAATCAATTTATAAACTTATTTGAATTAAATTTAATATTTACTGAATCTATATTCTACTTGGAATAAATATTATCAGAGGATTCATTTAATTAGCCAAAAATCTGGATTCCAAGAATACATACTTACATACCTGTGCACTTCCATAGTACAGTTTATTCCATCTCATTTAAATTTAATATTCATAAAAATCTATTGCAAGTATGAAATTAAAATTATTTGGGATATAATTTGCAAATTGTGGCTATTGAATTTGGAAACTGGGTATGAAAAGAAGATTACACAGTTGAAGATGTTTTTAAGTATCAGTTTTTGGCTTTATTTACTTGAACCATAATATAAAATGATGTACTATGATGCTTAGAGAGATCTTAAATTGAGAATTTATGGCAAACATAAAACGATTCATTGAGAATGATTGAAGTTACCCTATAAAGAGACATGATACCTTGTAATGAATAAATTAGACATAGTTTGGTAGAGCTAGTTTTTTTTTTTTTTTTTTTTTCCGGTACCGGGGATTGAACTCAGGACCCTGCACTTGCCAGGCAAGCACTTATTCTACTGAGCTATCTCCCCAGCTATTTTAGAGGACAAAATATTTGAACTTTGGTAAAGTGATTTTTTAAAAAAAATAAACCATCTTTTGTTCATTGTAGAAAATACTGTATAGGTCACCTGTGATGGCTGTCTCTCCTGTCTGTCTCCTTCCTTTTCCCCACCTTTCCTTGCTTGTCTCCACCCTTCTCTCTTCACTTGTTTTCTCTCTTCCACATACACGCTTTTATCATTTCTCCTTAGTGTCACAGATGGAAGCATGTCAAGTGGACAAATATGATGATATGGCAGTTCTTGAGTAGATTTTGCTGATACAGATGCTCAGACTTGTAGCAGTGAACGTTAACTGCTTGTTTTACCATGCTTGGAGGAATGTTCTGATCCACTAAGGGTTTCTCAAGCCTGACCTGTTTGTTTTTCTATGCTTTAGTTTTTCTCAGATGTAGTTAAGGGAAATTATAGTAGAGTGTGTTAAGAGTATGAGGTCTGGAGTTCAACTGTTTGTTTTGTGAGC